AGGGCGGCAGTGGTCGGGCACCTATTGTTCGTACCACAGGTCAGATTCCCATAACACCTCCGAATGTAAGAGTGTCAAGGGAGTAATCCGGCAGATGATCGACAGTGGAGAGCTGGGCAAGGATTACTTGCAGAAAGCCCAAGAGAAGAGTCATCAGTGGGTTAGGCCAGCTGCCCCAGGGAACGACCGGGACAACGACCGACGGAGGAATAACCGGCCAAGGGAGCGGCAACCTGCCCCCGAAAAAGAACACATCGGCATGATCTTCGGCGGACCCGAGGGTGGAGATTCAGCCGCGCAGCGGAAGAACCGGGTCCGGAGCATTTTTGTGGGAGAAGTAAGTGCTGAACCGCCCAAGCGTAAACATACTAGGAGGGAGCCAATCGTCTTTACTGACCGGGATCTCCCTCCTACCGGTGAAGATCACAATGATCCATTGGTCATCACCATGGACATTAATGGGGTAGATGTCGCCCGGGTACTTGTTGACACCGGTAGCAGTGTCAACATCTTATACCTGGAGACCTTCCAAAAACTCAGGTTGTGTCGAACACAACTTGAACCCCTCAAAACCCCTCTCTCAGGCTTCACGGGGGACACCGTTGAAGCTGAAGGATCCATAGTTCTACCGGTCGAACTAGGACCAGGTGAAAAGACCGTGTGGAAGAAGATGCGGTTCATAGTTGTGGACATCAAATGCGTCCACAACGCAATTCTAGGAAGGCTAGGCATCAATAAAGTCGGGGCGGTGATTTCCATGCCTCATCTATGCATGAAGTTCCACACTCCAGGTGGTGTGGGTGAGGTGAAGGGCGACCAGAGGAACGCCCGGGAATGCTATGCCCGGGCAGTCAAGAAAATGACCAGGGGGGTCAATGTCATCTCCCAAGAGATCACAAAGGGAGAGACCCGGGAGAAACTTGAGCCCGAGGCTGAGACGGTGGAAATCGAACTTCACCCGGGTGATTCTTCGAGGATGGTCAGAATTGGAGCAAATCTCCCCGAGGATCTCAAGGAGCAGATTACACGGGTCCTCCAGGAATACGCGGGCATATTCGCATAGAGCGTGGCGGATATGCCCGGGATAGATCGCTCCGTTATCTGCCACCGGTTGGCCGTGAGAGAGGGAAGTCGACCGGTACGCCAAAAGAAGCGGTACCTGGCCAGTGACCGGCGAGACTTCGTCAAGAAGGAAGTGAAAGACCTCCTCAGTGTTGGTCACATCCGGGAAGTCAAGTACCCGGATTGGCTGGCCAACGTTGTCCTTGCTCCCAAGGGCGACACGTGGAGAATGTGTGTGGATTATACGGACTTGAACAAGG